ATGGGGGGTAACCCCCCCCCCCCCCCCTAGAATCTCTCTAACCCCTCTTATGAAGTGTTCAACCCCACCAAAATTTTGCTTCACCCCTCCTATTTGTTTGAAAGTATTTAACCCTAACACCCAACCCCTGCCAAAGCTCGCTCAGTGGTGCCGCTTGCACCACACTAGAAATTTCTCCACCTCTCCTTTTAAGAAAATGAAAATCCGCCATTGCATGGTTTCATGCATGAATTATGACTGGCCAGATTTGTATGATGCAAGTCATATAGACCGGCCCGGCCAGTGTGGATTATAACGTTTTTGCTTAGGTCTGACAAATGTCCAATCAACAAGGCTGTTGCTCGGACATTGAAAAAGAATGGTCGGCCAACTATTTCAACCATTTTTACGAAAAAATAAAACATCTTTTTGTAAGTAGTGAGTATTGGAAACGCTATAGACTTACTATTGAGATTCTGTCACTTGAGAGAGTATTTGCTAAAAGAGAAGGTCGATGACAATGTTTCCTCTGAATGCTTTTTTCATCCAAATATCTATTGATTGCATGGTACACCACTAGGTATAGTATGCTTTTCAAACCATACTTTTTACATAAGCTACTTTCAATTAAAATGAACATTGTCTATTTTATTTGATCAGTCAAAATGTCCGTGCAGAATGAAATTGATCGGCCATTCAGTGTTTTTGTTTGGCAAATAGCAGACTGCCGACCATTATAATCCACACTGGGCCCGGCAACATTTTGGGTCTGCTGAATGAGATTGATTTGTGAGATGTTGTGCACAAAACAAAATCTATGTACACAATTTAGTTGCTTGTCACAGAAAAAATGCAGAAAGAACAGACTTAGCTAATGATTTTATTATTATTATTATTCAGCTCACTCCCCATTGGGGCTTTTCAGTGACTGATGACATCAAATATTACACTTACTTATGTTACTTACTTAGCTTAGACTATTTATCTTTACAACAATTGTGGTTACTTTCTTAACTGTGTTTATCCCAACCCACCCTGTCAACTTTCCCTGTGGGAGGAAACCGGAGCACCGGGAGAAAACCCGTGACTTTTGGCAAAGCGTTGACACTCTTTTCACACAAGTCCGAGGCTAGAATCGAACCCTCAATCGATCTCCAAGGTGAAAGGAGACACTCTGACAACTGCGCCACAGAACCCTGAATGAAAATTTCATCATACGGTCGCGATTTCCACCTTGTTCATGGCTACAAGAAATCCATGGCTACCAGAATGCTTAATTCAATCTTTTTTGTCTATTCAAAGTTATAAATTCATTGTGTAGAGAAGTCGCTGCATGGTTAGTGCTGTGAATGTCAAATTGTAGAAAAGCTGGTATGACAACAAAATGTTTTGTATTAAGGAATTTCAGCCATATTCAACCCCCTTCCCCAACATCTATGTATAAAAGAACAACTGTTTTATTATTTTACCTTCACATGTGTGCTTCAATGAGAAGTTTTCATCGGCAAACTTTTCGCCATAGATAGACTTGCCACCAGTTCCATTATGTTTAGTGAAATCACCACCCTAAAATATTTTCAAATTAGAGTAAAACGAGACATTTCATTTAGGTCATAGTATTATTCACACAAGTCCAAGGGCATTTTCCAAGTATTATTCACGTGAATCCAAAGGGATTTTCATAGGGGTCTCATGTGAACAAACTTACAATTTTGATTTCCATCCCGATTTGAGTTTGTCTCAAGTTATATGATTAGGTTTTGTCAATTATAAAAAAATTTCGATTCACTACCTGACACATGAAGCCCGGAATTACACGATGGAATGTCGAACCCTTGTAGCCATAACCTTTTTCACCAGTGCAAAGTGCTCGGAAGTTTTCTGTGGAAGAGAAATATATCGGTAATAGTTTTTCAAAATATAGGCGTGCGTGTACACTTGACAGCGGTGAAATAAACAACATGTTTTTGGGTGACTAGTGCAAGCATGCGAGTTGGCATGTTTATAGAGAACGAAATATAATGATTAATAATTAATAATAATAATGAGATTTGCAAAGTAAAAACTGCGAGTTGAGATTTGTAAATTGTCATAGACACTATTGGAGGCAATTTACGACATCGGAACAGTAACCACATGAGGTTGGAATCAGTAGGTGTTACGCTGGATATCTCCGGCTTAAAATGTTACATTTGATATTTTATGCCATCGGCGGCTGTGAGGTGCAAAACGAATGATCATGGGCGGGGAGTAAAACGCAGTAAAATTTGTAGATTATGAAATATTGAAGAATCTTCTGATGAAAAATAATACCAAATTATTTAGTTACACATCTTGATACTTGGGAAAAAATTATATTTACAGGTACCAGGTAATATTTTAAGGTCTTGAGCTTTTTGGATATTTATTTGATATGGTACTCTTCAACGGACTTGGATTTAAGTTCTTGGCTGATGACTGGTCAGGTGATATTTTGCGGCCATTTCCGTTTGCATTAAAAATCGTAGTATATTTCCGAATGTGGCGTAATTAGGCGGTGTCCACTTGGTGTATAAACCTCTGGCATAAATTTTTTACGGATTCCAACCTGGTAACCAGAACTAGTAAAATCTTTGCACCAAATTTTTGAGCGAGATTGGATTCTGGTGTTATGGATAGCACCTAAAAGCTCTTTGATAGTTCGATCTTGTATTGATTTGCTACAGTCACACACACAAACAAGGACGATATTAAACTTATTAACTACCTGGCTAGTGGCTAGTACCGCATCCCCCGGAAATATTCGCTACCCGTTAAAAAATGTGTACAGCAAATTGTACAACGGTACAAATTTGACATTTCATGCACAAAACTAAAAACAGTTGACTGAAAATAACTAGGACCTAGGTACAAACCTGCAGTTTTCGGCACAACATCGGCCCTCAACTATATAAACGAAATAGAAAAAACATAAATTCAGTCGCAAATATAAATCTTCAAACCGCGAGCACAAATTGCCGCAAAGAACAGCTTCAAATTTGAATAGATTGGTACAGACCTCCATTACAATACGGCCGACAGGTTTGCCGCCAACAGTCATGTCGAAAAATACTCGTGGTTTTGACATTATCGTTGAATTTTGTCGTACAAACTGCAAAAACTTCCAAAGCATCAAAATGTGAAGACGAGAGGAAGCAAAGAGCAGGTTTCCGCCTTTTAAAGCTCAAAGCACGTGGTCGAACAGGCCGCCCTGATGAGATGCAGGACCACCCCGATGGACTCACTAATGGTAGGGACAGTCAAAATTATACTGTCCAAATTTGATCAAATTCTGTCTTCATTGATAGTTTCTTCAAAATATGTTTTCATTTTATATTAGTGTCTAATCTAATGCGTGAAGTTTATTGCAAAAGAAATGAAAAGCATTAATACTTTAGTTTCTATTTTGAGCTTAACCTGCAACCAGTCCAAAGAACGCCTGCTTGCAGGTTATTTTATCAATTGCCAATTGGAAATGCGCATAAATTATGCATAGCATAAAAGCAAAATTCGAGGCAAAATAAATTAACCCAAAATTCCATTTTCGAAAGCCCGATATACAATTTCTTTTGCGTTTTTTGTTGCCGTATATTATATAAATGAAGCGATTGCATTCTTTTGGAAACGATTAAGCGAATAAAAGCGAACGAATAAGGCAAAATTTGCAGAAATTCTACTGTGATAATTGATGTCAGGTGTTGTCATAAATTATAATAAATCAGCTAAAAATAGCCAAGCTACTTTTTATAGCCACGCCTTTTTCGAACGCTTTTGTTTTGTTTACATTTTTGATTAAAAAGTGACACTTTCCTAAAAATATTAAAACACGATATAAAACGTATAACTGTCTTCCAAATACCGGCAAAAACATCGAGCGGGGAGCTGTACGGCTCTTGGGTCAAGTGCGATCGTTTGTTTTCGGGACAGTGGAAGGAAGATGTCTAAAAAACGATGTTTTTTAGACGTAAATGCCGAAGGCAAGCGACTCGGTCGGATAGTATGCGAGGTTTATAAGTATTTGTATTTTTTGAAGTTGTGTCGATATTGTATTATATTAATATGACATGTTATATATTGAAAGCAATTGATATTTGATTTTTTTATTTTTAGCTTCATGCAGATATTGTACCTAAAACTGTAGGTTAGTAATTTTTTGACAGCTAGGTTCTATTTCTATAGACTTGTTTGGGGAACGAGGCCAAATATGACCATTTTCCCCCTGGGCGGCTATGATGACATAGAAGTGCCCCTTTGCACAAGTTGTTGCAAGTCTGCTAACAAGTTGTTACAAATCTGTTCACAAGCTGTCAACAAGTTGTGTTCCCACTGCTTGCATGTTCCTAGTTGTTGTAACAAGTTTGGACCAAGCTGTTGACAACTTGTAACAAGCTTGATGGCATTATCAGATTTGTTACAAGGTTGTTCCTAACAAGAATGTTACAAGGTTGACCACACAAGGTTGTAACAATATTGTTATATCGGATCAATGACTGTATGGGACTTGTTGGAACAACCTTGCAACAAGTCTGATAATATCAACAAGGTTGCATGTTACTATAGTTGTTAACAGCTTGTTCCAACCTTGTTGACAACTTGGCACAGGTGATGCAAATACAACTTGTTGATGGGTTAATTTGGCTACAAGTGTGAGATTTTTGCGTGTGTACATGGGCATACATATTGAGCCTCGACCAGTGGCATCATAGTCAAGGGGGGGGGGGGGGCTGTCTCTTGTTCAATTGTACTATTCCTCTGTGCAAAGGAGGCTGTCTGAGTCACAATCCAGTTACAAGTGATCTGATATCTGTCTTTCCGTAGAAAACTTTCGAGCACTCTGCACAGGTGAAAATGACTTTGGCTACAAGGGATCAACATTTCACAGAATAATTCCAGGATTTATGGCTCAGGTAATAGCGAGAGGCAATTGTATTATTTCAATCCGACAGATTTACTTTTATTTCCACAAAGTCACTGGCACTTTGCGAAACCATCAACAGACTTTGCAGACCATGCAGTCAACAATATTTCAAGGTAAAGGTAAAATAATTTGTAACAGCAATTGTATAACCATTTAGGGTGGTGATATCGCTGGGAACGAGCATGGAGAAAAATCAATATATGGTGAAATGTTTCCTGACGAGAATTTTGCATTGAAACATACAGGACCAGGTAATTTTCAAATGTCTATTAACTCATAGAGTGGCACCACTCTCCCCTTGATGAGTAAATTGTATGGCGTTATATATAGATAGAGTAAAATTTTTTGCACATTGGGGCACATTATGCATCTTATATAATATGTTAAGTTGTGCTACACACATCTGAGTACAACAATTTCACCATGCAGACCTTTAATGGAGAATAGTTTACAATTTAACAAGCTTTTCAGCCATGTTTGGGAAAATTTTGACTATAGCGACATTGTGTTGAAATGGCAATATGTGGACAATGAAATGCTTTTTATTAGTTAAATATCATGGTTAAATATGTAAACATGTCGAGGTCATTATACAGCCATATTAACAAATATACTGTACTTGAACAAGCAAATTTACTGTACTGTGCTACACCAACTGTCTAGTCACACATACGTGATAAAATGCCGATTTAAACTTATAAACAAAAGATAATGTAAAACGTAACAGAACGGCAGACATGCAGCTAATCAGCCATTCCAAATGATGGTAATGTTGGGATGGTAGCGTTGCAGACAGCAGAGGAGAGTGGTCAGTAAGGCTCCCTCATGCACCTGCTCAGTCCCATCCTTGCAGATGTGGCTAAATCCGCTCCTGTTTTACAGTATAACTTCTGCAGTGTATATAAGAAATCATGTTGGAAATTTTCTCTTAAGTTTGTTTAGTTTTAACTTATTCTGGACACTAAATGTTGTCTAGGTATTCTTTCAATGGCCAACAGGGGTGAAAATACTAACAGCTCTCAGTTCTTCATATCCACCATCAAGACGCACTGGCTGGATGGTAAACATGTCGTCTTTGGTAAAGTAATTGAAGGAATGAAGGTTGGTGAGTCTTTTCTGTCGTGTGTGGTTAAAGCTACATGTGCCCTAAATTTGATCATGATTAGACATTAGATGTTAGACAGAGTAAAATAATAAAGTAGGGTGTATCTGGGTGCATTGCCACTTAAATGACCTTAAATGGTTAATGTTACATGTGAGAAAAGTACTTGCTGTTTACCAAATACCATTATGTTTTCTCTGGGTACTCAGTGGTTCCCGAATCCATTTCAGTTTGAAGAAATACAAAACAAAACATACTCCGAATAATGAGTTGTTCCAGAAAAGATCTTCACACTTTTTTAAAATAATGTATTTTAAAATCATTACCATGCATTGAGCGCAAAAGGAGATATTACTCTGGTTCTCAGCAGTGCCGCAATAGAAATGGTCGTAAAAAGAGAGTCACAATCTTTCTCAACGGCCAGTTTATAATAGTTTATACCTGTAAACCACATATACATCATAAGTATTCTCTAGTTATAATCACTCCTCGTATTTTCAGTTCTAAAACGTTGTATTTCGGCTGAATCTGAGAAAGATCGCGACTCAATTTTTACGACCGTTACCGCCATATGAAAACCAGATTTTACTATCTACCTCTAGGAAGAACAAGTTAGAACTTATAAAATCTATCAAACAGCAATGTAAATAAAGTTGTAAGCTTGATTTAGGTTTCTTCAAACGTGGGTTGACTACAAAATTTTTGTAGTTCGCTATCAAACTAGTAACTACAGCTACTTCAAAAATATGTAGTCAGCTACAACTACTGCTACTTTTGAACAAAGGTAGTTCGCTACTGACTACAGCTACTGCTTAAAAAATGTAGCGAACCATTTCGCTATTTCGCTACGCTCGATATTTTTTAGTTAAACTGTATTTGGAGCATCTATACTAACTCAGACTGTAATGTAACCTATAACAAATCGACTTACGAGTAGCAACAGTAAACACAAAGCAACATTTTTGTAATCACTATACAGTGTGCAGGAATGCAAATTGACTATTGAGTATCGATTTTAAGCAAACCGTGTCTCAGTATCATGCTATTCTATCAAGTTGTTAACAATTTTTAAAAGTATCGAATAGCGATTTGCTGTTTGAAAAGTAGTCAACTACTTGGCTACTTTTAGGCAAAATGTAGTTCGCTATAACTACAGCTACTGTTTTAAAAATGTAGTCAAAAACTACTGGCTACTTGAAAATTGTAGTTCGCTACAGTAGCGAACTACAACTACTTCGCTATACTACCCACCCTTGGGTTTCTTCCTGTAGTCAAATGGTTTTATTCATATGCATAGTTACAGTAATAGAAATATAGACAAGCGAGTCTGCACATTGAGCGATGAATCTGTGCCATGCACTGACTTCTGTCAAATTTTTGTTTTGTACACACGTAAAAACGCCCAAGTTGTAACAAATCTGCAGCAGACTTGTAGCAATGCTGTTCCAACAACTTGTCAACAATGTAACAAATCTGCAGCAGACTTGTAGCAATGCTGTTCCAAAAACTTGTCAACAATGTAACAAATCTGCAGCAGACTTGTAGCAA